AAGTTTTGTAATCTTGTTAATTATCAAGTTGTTTGTAATATGGATAATTTGTTTTTTACCTGTTACAAGTAATTCATATTTTTATATAGAATCTTGGGGAGAGTTTAATATGGCAAGTAGAGAAAGTACTCGTGCCTGCACCACTCCTGTGCTGCTTGGGGGATCCGGTATCAATGGAAACATTGAAAAAATGCTGTGGGAAGCTCAACGTGAGAGTAATCAATCTTCGGCAATAGCAAGTAGAAAATCCTCTCATGGCAACAGGTGTTCATTTTCTTACATAATTATTATTTATGTTAGAGTTTTGTTTTTTGATTATTATACATTTTATAAACACCACCAAGCCATAAGATTATTATATGATGGTAAACTTACCATTATATGATATTTGAAATGTTCTTAAGGTTTTTTTAATTGTTTCCTAAAAAAGAAATTAAATTCTTTAAAAGAAATTCCCCTTCTATTAAAGAAGTAGAATATAATTTGTGTAAACTTGGAACTCATTCAAAGTCTCTTTGGGAACTTCTAATATTAATATACAGTGTATGGAGAGTATAAAAAATTTATTTCAAATAGAAAGCATAGTCTTAAAGACTAAAATTATAATGTGTAAACTTGCATACAATTCATTTAGAAAAACATCAATTTTTTTACAATTAAATCACCTGTTTTTTTTTTATGAGGAAATGTTTTTATCATAGCATAGCATGTTTTCTCTTTTGCTGTCTCATTTTTAAGTGAAATAAATATTTTTTGTGAACATAGAATTGACTTGCTTAGCATTAGTCACAAGTTTTGTCTAGTATTGTGCCATACACCTGTAAAAGAAGTTCTAATTATAGCTAATTTGGTGTGTGCAAGCAGTATGCAAGGGTTGACATGTCTGGAAAGTTGAATCATGTTACTAGTCATTCAGGCATTGTTATTACATGTCAGCATGATATTTATATTCTATATGAAGTAAAATTATACATCTTTTGAGATGAATTATTTAATTGACTCTCAAAAGGTTTTATTTACTCATTGTAAATGTGATTATCACCTAATCAATCTGATTTTGAACCCACTCTCAAAATGTCCATGTGTTTTTTGTTTTGTTTTTATCAAGGAAATCATGTTAAACTGTAATAGACATCCTACATTACCCAGTTTGTGTTAGGTATGTCTAGATAGACAAAAATTACGTGAGCAATTGTTGTATATACTCATGTAAAGTTATTTTGCCATCTGTATTTATACTTATGAACTTATAGCATTTATGATGCACAAGTTCTTAATTAGGTATCTTCCAATGACATTTTTTTTTCATTTACTTACACACACTTACAAATATCTATCTATATATGGAGAATTTATGTGTTTGTTTGTGTGTGTGTGTGTGACTGAGAGACAGTAGAAAGTGAAACTTGGGAACATTTGGTTAGAGATTATCACAGTATTTATGTTTTAGTCAATTTTAAAATATAGAAATTCAAAAAAACAACCCAAAGGTAAGCCCTTCAAACAGTGGTCAAAAGAAGACAAAGGTGGCAGTGTGATGAAATTTAACAATATTTTAAAATGCAAAGCATTAGTACAGATGGTGGAAAATACCCAATAGATCAACGATCAGGAGACTATATTTGGTAACAGATAGACAAGGTTTAAAAAAATAGGCAGAAAACCAATAACTGAACAAACAACTTTAAAATGAAAACTATAAGATCATATTAAGATAGGAAATACATTTGGGAAAAATTAATAGAAATAGTTGGAAGAATATTAAAGTTAATTGGAATTAGCTTTAATCTGAACAAAAATAAATATAAAATGAATTGAAGGTCATGGAGGCAATGGGAAAATAACTGATCCATTGATGATAAGGAAAGTGTGTTGTGTAACACATTGATAAGATTAGGAAGAAAGGCATAAAAACAACAATGAAATATACAGTTTCAGAGTTCAAATAGCAAAATAATATTAGGATATAACATAAATTTGTGTAAACAATTAAATAAAATAGTTAGAAGAGTGTGATAGATATTCTACAGTATTCAGTTTGCATTTGTAATTTTTTTACAATGTTGAAAATATATATATGTTTAAAATTTGAATAAAAAAGGTTTACCACAAAATTTTTATTACTCAAGGGTTAAAAGCAATAATACAAAATAGCAATAAATGCAAGGTGACAGAAACTTTTCAGTGGGTTAAGGTCACCCCCACAAAAACAAATTAACCAAGCTAAATGTAGCTTTCCACATCAATTAATATACATATATATATATATATATATATATATATGTGTAATTTATTTTAGAAAAGAAACATACATTTAGTTTAGCAAATATAACATATTTTTTCTGTTTTTGCAAAGGTAAAGAAACCCTAAACTCCGACACTACTTACAAGAAAGATATGTAGTCTTTTCCAAGTGTATGAAATCACAAATTTCAGGCATGCATGTCTCATCATATTTTTAAAAGTTTCTTTCCCAACTTTCTTATTCACCCACTAAAACAGAATACCAAGACGTGTAACAGTTTTTAATATTTGAATCAAATCATTGTAACAACTAGTTCTGTGTTCCAAAGACAACAAGTACATCATCGTAGTAGGCCATCTCTGTATTTTTTTCTAACGTATTCATATTCTTCCTGTTATATTTGAATTAAAAGAGCACATGGTACTCCAGATTAGGCCTTATTAAAATCTTGTACAAGGTTTGGAAAAAACAAGTGTGTCCTTAACTTTACGTGTCTTCTAAATTGATCTCGAATACATATTCAATGTTTTTTGAACCACGGTTAAACATTTCTAAGAATACTCAAGACTTTTATCAGCATTGACATTTAAGTTATTTTCTTTTTCTGCAACATCAGTGCTCTTTCATATAATTTTCTGTATCACAAATACATTGCTTTACAGTTCCCAATATGGAAACTCATTTTGTAGGTTCTGACTATTATGCCTGTCATGTTTCTTTTGAGTAAAACAAACATTTTTAAAACATTCAATGCTTTCCAACATCCAGTTATCAGCAAATATATAGACATGAGTACTGAAGCTCTCAAAACAGACCATGAAGGATCATGATTGGTACGAACCAGCATAGTACACACAAACATTTGTGATAAGAATTACAGTATTGTAGTATTTAAGATAAAAATCTTTATAGCTGGTTAGTGATTAGTAAGATATGTTTCTGTTGTTGAAAATAGCTTCCAATAGGGTTATGTCAGTTTTAAAAATATGATGAGACATGCATACCTGAAATTTATGTGATTTCATACACTTGGAAAAGACTACATATCTTTCTTGTAAGTAGTATAGGAGTTTAGGGTTTCTTTACCTTTGCAAAAACAGAAAAAAATATGTTATATTTGCTAAACTAAATGTATGTTTCTTTTCTAAAATAAATTACATACAAGTAGTTGAAAATAAAATGATTTAAAAGCTGCCCTCTCAATTAGATCTGTTTTGAATTTTGAAACACAGTAAACTTCCAAGACACACAAAATAGGATGGAAAGATAAACAATCACCAAAAAACTTGTTACCAGCTATGTGTATTTTTTTACTCAATTTCAAATTCTAGTAACTTCTTTTTTACAAAAAAAACAAAAGGTGTACAGTACTTGTACTCATTTGCACTGGAGCAGGACTGTAGACCAGGCAACAGCTATACCAACATTTTGTCACAGTAACTGTAGGGCTTTTTAAACTTTAACTTACACTTAAAAAATTGTTTCTAGGTAAATAGATAGACTTATAGTAGTATGTATGAATCAGTATAACAATGTATAATAAATTACATGTGTAATCTGGGAGGCCTGCCTCCCAGACCTTCCCCTAGCACTGGCATTGTTTACACACTATTCCGAGTTGCCTAACCAATTAAAATTTGCTTCCTCCATCCTTGGTAATGCAGCATAAAGGAGTTGATTACTTTATGGTGGCCTGGCATGGCCAGGTGGTTAAGGCACTCGACTCGCAATCTGAGGGTCGCGGGTTCGAATCCCTGTCACACCAAACATGCTCGCCCTTTCAGCCGTGGGGGTGTTATAATGTAACGGTCAATCC